GGTGTTGAACACAGCAACAGCCCTGGGCTCTAAGAAGGGAGACAGCAGATCAAGATCAGGGTGTCCTGATGGCTTCTATGTTGAAGGTATAACTCTTCATAAGTGCTTCAAGAGACAAAACTAAAGATGCCTTTTCTATTTGGAAAGATATTTTGTCCATAGGAATATTCCCCAGCACCTGGAATGTAGCACCTTCAGACCCAAACCATCACCATCACACCAATTCAATGAGCACCTCCAGTGTGAGTGTCAGGCACCATTGGGGCACATTTCCTAGTGGACCACATTTCCACTCTTACAGCTTTGCAAGGTCAATTTACTCCTCTCCATTTTAGAGAGGAAGACACTAAGCTTCAACCTGATCAAATACTTCGAAAAGGTTCCATGGTTGATTGAATAAATGCAAGATTGGCTCTCAGGACCACCTGACTCCAAACCCCCCAGTTTTCTTATTTTAGTTAATGTCACAAATAGAAAGCCATGTGCTCACAATAGTACAGTGGGTGTTAACTCCTCTTTCTCCTTCACCCCCAATCCTATCTTCCGTCTGATGGCCTTTCAAGACTTACAATGGCTTCTTCTTAATTGATTTCATATCTGCCTCCTCCTCCATGAGCATCTCTAACATTCTCATTACTTTGCAGTAGAATGATGGTAATTTCCTCATTTTTTACTTCACCTTTCATGGTCCTCCAGTTCATCCCTTATACTCCTCTCAAAGTCATCTTTCTAAGAATCAAATCTGACCAAGCTACTCCCCAATTGTATACTTCAATGGCCTTCCATTATCAATAACTATCATTTTATAGTACTTACTATGTGCTGGGCATTGTTTCAAGTATTTTATATACAAGTGCTAATATTATCTCCGTGCTACAGATGAGGAAACTAAAATGTAGATAATTATGTTTCTTACCCAAGAATACCAGCTATTAGGTAGCAGGATTTGAACTCCATAAAGTTCTAGAGCCTGTGCCTCTAACCCCATACCATGTGTATCATCTGTGTTTCTAATATGGCATGTAAGGCTCCTCATAATCCAAAGTCTCCTGCTCTGATCTTTCTCCCTGCCCTATTCTCCAGCCACTGGTAACTACTTAGAGATTTATGAGTGCACTGTGCCCTCAAACACAGGGCACTTCCATTCCCTTTCTGCTCCCTTGCCTCAAATCCTATCCTCCATATCTATATGATTGACTCTGACTCATTCTCTGAGGCTTGATTCAAGAGTCATAACATCTGGCAGGACTTCCCTATGATCATCGCTGTTCTCTGGAGTTTACACTAAAGACCCTATCTGCTACAGTGGCCGAATGCCTGTCACTACCTTCTGAGGCAGGCTATGAATTCCTGGGTCTTCAACATCATGTACCTTCAGGATGTGGCACAAAATGAGTGCTAAGTAATTTTCCTTGAATGAAAATTTAAAGTAGAATTTGACAAGTGACAAGTTCTATTACAAGATGGGTAGAGATATTTAAAATTTGGGGGGAGAAAGAAGACAATAGTGGGCCAAAGTATATCCAACTGTGTCCTTATTTTACCTAAGAGAAAACTGAGACTCAGATTAGTAAGTTCTCCGGTCACAGAGGTAGGACTGGAGATAAGATTTGGATTCCGACGTCAGTTAAGAGATCCCACCCTCTACCTGTACAAACCTTTTGTATTTTAAGTTGTGTATTTAATTTACAACATTTCAATATAAATTGTATAAACTAGTAATTTTGTGGGCATTGTTTAGAATGAACATACAAAACACGAGTCCATTTAAAGACAGTGAGAGGAGAACAGTTCTCAGAACTAACGAAAATCAGAACAATGGAATGATAACAACCAGTCAATATTTATTTTTAGGAAACAGGGTAAACTATGATAAAGTTAACTAACCTCTAATTTATGTATCTGCCATAGATATAGCTGATGAGATGTGCCCTAATGTCAGGCTGACTTGACACAATAAAAATGTACTGACTGGCTAAGTCTTTCCACTGGGACCTTGAGAACTCTGGGTCCATTGCCAATCAATTCCTTGCACTTTGGACCCTTCCCCAGAACACTTTCGCTCTTTCCTTCCCTTCCGTTTCCTTCCACTCCTGAAAACCTGACATTCTCTTTAGCTTAGCATTTTACTTTCTGGGGCATTGTTGGCTTCCTTTCTCATTTCTCCTAGAACTGAAGAAGGGGGACACATTCTCATTGTCCTTCACCCTAGATCATCCTTGCTTTTTCTTCTACCTCCTCAACAATCTCTTCTCCCTGGAAATCCATGTCATATCACTCTTGGTCCCTTTGTGCCACTGCGTCTATCAACTTTCAAGTTACCTTTCCATGAAAACTACAGCCAAAACAATGTTTGAGTGTGACTACCTTTTCCTTCTTGAAAAATCTCTTCATTTGTTCTTTGGGCTTTGTGTTCACTCACCTGAAAGGTGGGATTTTTTTGTTTGTTTGTTTTTTGTCTTTTTGGTGCTGGGGATGGAACCGAAGGCCTTGAACAAGCTATACAAAGGTTCTATCACTGAGTTATACCCAAGCCCATAAAAGATGGGATGGATTGATTGGTTGATTGATTTCCTTCTTTCTTTCTTTTTTGGTAACTGGGATTGAACCCAGGAGCACTTGACCACTGAGCCATATCCCCAGATGTTTTTTTATTTTTTATTTTGAGACAGAGTCTGAGTTGCCCAGGGCCTCACTAAGTTGCTGAGGCTGGCCTTGATTTTGCGATCCTCATGCAGGGGATTACAGGTGTGCATCACTGCACCGGACTAAAAAGGGGATTTCTTTAAGGTCCTGCATACCCAGTCTTTAATTTTTCCCTCTTTCTCTATTCTACCCAATGTCCTTCAATATCTTCAACCATTACCTCTTTCCAAATGTCTCTCAAGCCTACCTCTCTTACTCAGAGTTTCTCCTCAACTATAGGCTAAAATTCCCAAATGGCTTTTTGCAATATCTCCAAAATATCCTGTCAGCTCAAGCTTTATCAAGAAATGGACTCTTTCTCATAATCCTGGCCCTCCCTCTGCTCCCCTTCTCCCAATGAATGGTGATGATCTAGAAGAGAATGCTCAGAATTCCTTTCAGAACTTGCCTCTCCTCCATTACCCCCAACATCCCTTCGGTTACCATATCCTCCATTGCTCTCTGTTTACAGTTGCTGTGGGTCTGCCCTCACCAGCGCTCAACCAAACTACCCCAAATAGCCTCACTGCCTGGGTCATACCATATCACGTAGCAAAGCAAATTGCTAGACTAAGACTAGAACATGTGGATCTCTGGCCCAGACGTCTTCTAAATATCAACTTTATCTAGAGAATGGACCTAAATTTTTTTAACTGGAAAGCCAAGATTATCTCTCGAGCCTATTTTTTTCCCTTCATCCCCTATATGAATCTTCCTTAACCAAGCCGGATTTCTTGATGCCTAAATAAGAAATTCATTCATTTATTTATTCAAGAAATATTTATTAAGTTGCTCCATATTAGCCCAACACTGTACTATGAGCTGGGCATATGGTGGTAAGCATGACTTGTGTTTAAAATTAGATGATACAAGCAATGACAATGAAATATGGTCAGTACCAATCCAGTACCAGGTGTGTCCATCTAGGGGCTCCTGAACCGGGTAGAGCAAGGTTTGGGGAATAGGGAGATCAGTTAATCTTTGTGAAAGAAGTGATAATTGAGCTGAGGCCTGAAGGTTAAATAAGATTTATTCAGGTGTAGTGTGGAAATAGGGGTGTTATTAAAACAGAGAAAAATGTATTCATAAATATTTGGGGTAAGAAGGGATTGACAGAGAAAAGGGAACAGAATGGAGGTTGGAGACAAAAGGAAGAAGAAAGCAAAGATGTTGCAGAAGCAAGGAATGAGACTGTAAAGTGAGTGAGAATGGACTACAGTGTCAATGCTGCCAAGAGGTCAAGTAAGAGGAGTAAAGAGTGTTGTTGGCTTGAGAAATGAAGAAATAAAAAAATACCCTCATATCTTGGACTTTTTAAAATTCCTGGCAGTTAGAATGGATTGTTCAGTACTTGCCACATAAATCTTTGCTGAATTAGCAAACCTCTCAGTGATCACGTGGCATTTCCTGTGTGTGATTGTTAGAAGCACTTGCTTCTTGCCACCTTGAGGTCCATTTAGCTGTATACACATGTCATCTCCCTGACTACACAATTTGATGATGATGAACTAACAATTAGTCATCTTTGAACCTCTCATAGTTCTGAGCTAAGTTCATTGTCACTGTCGTCATTCAAACTGAACTCAACTGACTGTTCTCTCTTAAATTCATTTAAGCACATAAAATGTATGACATAATCTTGGTCCTGGAAGACAATGATTTTTTTTCTCTTTTTTTTTAAATTTTAATTTGTGATATATGACAGCAGAATGCATTACAATTCATATTACACATGTAGAACACAATTTTTCATATATCTGGTTGTACACAAAGTAGAATCACACCATTTATGTCTTCATTACCCTTCATACACTTAGGGTAATGATGTCCATCTGATTCCACCATCTTTCCTACCCCCATGTCCCCTCTCTTCCCCTCCCTTCCCTTGCTCTATCTAGAGTTCATCTAATCCTCCCATGCCTGCCCAACTCCGTTATGAATCAGCATCCTTAAATCAGAGAAAATATTCTGCATTTGTTTTTTTGGGATTGGCTAACTTCACTCAGCATTATATTCTTCATCTCCATCCGTTTACCTGCAAATGCCATAATTTTATTTTCTTTTAATGCTGAATAATATTGCATTGTATATATGAAGACAATGATTTTTATAGTAACTTTTTTTTTAACTATACCAGGAACCAAACTCAGGGTCTCACCCATGTTTGGCAAGTTCTGTACCACTGAGCTATATCCCCAACATTTTAACAGTATCTATAACAGGCATGGAAAATTTGGAAATTTTTAGTCTTTTGCGGGGGCAGGCAGGGATCAGATCCAGGGCTTCATATATGCTATTAGACAGGGTCTCACTAAGTTGCCCAGGCTGGCTTTGAACTTGTGATCCTCCTGCCTCAGTCTCTTAAGTCTCTGAGATTATAGGCATGCACCACCACACCCAGCTTTTTAGAGTCATCTTTAACTTGTTCAAGTATTTTCACATGCTTTACATTTTCTAAATTCTATAAATGATTATTAGATTGTTTCATTCAATATACATGAAAGAATATAAACCAAGTTTCTGAATCAAGTGAAACTCTTTGAAGCTCAGAGTCCTCAAGTAGCAACTCATTAATGAAGCTGAGTTAACTACTCACACATCTTTCCCTTTAGAGAAAAAATTCTAGAGATTCATTAAACCAGGCAAAACTAGAAAAATGACATTGAACTTTTGAGATTTATAAGGAATGAAATCAAATGAAAGTCATCTTCTTAAATTCTAAGTGATGATAATTTGGATATGGCTTATTTAAAGAGAGTAGAGACAACATTACAAATGAAAGATAATTTTATTTTGTTGTAGATTGAGAGTTTTCCAAAAACTTTTTATAGCTAGAGAAAATAAGAGTCCCTTAAACTTTTTTAAAAAATTAGTACACTTGATAAGCTCCAGTCTAAACTATGTTAGAATTTCTCTTAGGCATATTTCACAATTCTGCTGCAATAGATTCTGAAACTTTTATCACTTCCTTCCTAGCCTAGCCTCACCCTTTACCACATTTTAAATACAGAGCACAGAGATAACCAACTCAACCCTACATCTCATAATAGAACTGGAACTAAAGTACAAAGCTCCACTTCTTTAAAAAAAAAAAAATGGGTTTGACGATACAGCTTAGAGGTATAGCACTTGCCTAGGGTGTACAAGGTCCTGGGTTCAATGTCTAGCACTACAAGAAAAAGAAAGAAAAAAAAAGAGAAAATCCTGAATCAACTGTCTAAATGTCAATTTCTGATGAAACAGGATAGTGGGTATTCAGGCAACTGATACTTTTTGCTATTCCTTCCTCTAACTGTGAACTATAGCTTTAAAATAAATTTTTTTTAAAAAAAATCCATATGGTCCAAAGTTAATGGACAACTTAATAACTGAATGAGTTACTTTTACTGACTCTTAATTATTCAAGTTCTCTGCTTGGTCCATGAGTGCTTAGAGGTCAGTTATTTTTTTCAGTTTTCAGAGGAAGAAGCACGTGAAAATAGTTCAGAGAAACCAAGAGATTCTAGAGTAAGGGCAATAAGCTGACGTCAGAATTCCTGGGAGGGGAAGCAACCTAGTACTTCACGGCATAAAAGGCATTCAGTGAGTACATGCTTGATTAATTGATTACTTGTTTAACAGGAATGAAAGCTCAGCTTCTTGAGAAAATGGTACATGTCACTTTCTTTCATTACTGACCATGGACATGCTGGGCCAAACTTGGGAGAACTCTTGTCGACTCTTAATAGTAGTGACAGTTCAACATGGAACTACTTCAACTCAGAATGGTGCCTGCATTTGTAAAGCAGCTGACCCAGGGTTATGGATATTGTTGAGAGCACAGTTAATTAATTCAAAGATTAGGAAGAACCACAGAACTCAAGGGCAAGAAAGAGCCAGTGCCTCAAGGAAATAGATTTCATTTTTTGGGAGAAGCAGATTAAACCCAGGGGTGCTTAACCACTGAGCCATATCCCCAGCCTGTTTTTATTTTTAATTTTGAAACAAGGTCTTGCTAAGTTGCTGAGGCTGGCTTTGAACTTGCAATCCTCCTACCTCAGCCTCCTGAGCCATTGGGATTACAGGCATGCACCACTGCACCCAGCGAAGGAAATTGATTTCTAAGCTACTCCCTCATTTGGCGAGCATTCTGTTACCACAAAGGTAACTAAATGGCATTGACTTAGTTGGTAGAAAAGTCCACCAAACAAAAAAGGGAGTGCATAGTGTTTCCAGTGCAGCTCTTTATGCTGTGTTCTGATTGGAACATGAGGCATCTCCCAAAACGCTCATATGCTAGGCAATGGAACACTCAGAGGGGAAATGATTAGATGATGAGAGCCGTAACTTCATCAATGGATAATCCATTTTTCAAATGGGTTACCGGGCAGTAATTGTAGTCTGGCATGGCTGGAAGAAGTTGGTCATTGGGAACAAGTCCTTGGAGAGTATAATTTGTCCCTGGCCCCTCCATTTCTCTCTCTCTCTCTCTCTCTCTCTCTCTCTCTCTCTCTCTCTCTCTCTCTCCTTAAAGTCCTCAAAGCATAAGTTTAAGCACCTGTAGTGAGTAGACTAGTAATAAAGAAAGAAAAACTTCAACTCTAAAGAGGGGGTTGCCTGGGGCTATAAGTGGTATGTTCACTGAAGCTTCTTGAGACAAGTGTAAATCAAGCCTGGTGTGGTGGCTTGTGCTGGGCGGCTAAGGCAGGAGGATTGCAAGCTCAAGGCCAGTTTTGGCAACTTAGTGAGATCCTGTCTCAAAATAAACATTTTTAAAAGAGCTGGGAATATAGCTCAGGGTAGAGTGCCCCTGGTTTAAATTCCCAGTACTGCAGGAAGGTTTGGGGGAGTAAGTTACTCTGTAGAGAGTGGGACAGAGTCAGAGTTTGTGTGTGTGCGTGTGCATACATGTGATTGTGACTTGTTTGCAAGAGTGGTTTCTCCATAGTTATTTATTTAATTTTCCCTCTCAGCAGCCACAGCCCTGGTTAGACCCAGGATCGCAGCCAAGTCAATGCACTCAGACTGGCAAGATTCTCAGGGAAACCTGGAAGACTGGAGCTTGAAAGGATATACAGAGCAAGAGCCCAAGTCACCATTGCCCAAATGGAGGAGTTGTTCCTGGAGAGGGTGCAAGATTTGGGCCATGAGGTGGCTGAGCAAGAACTGCAGCCCTGGCCCTGCTCGCAGCCTACCTGGGGGTGGGGTACAAATGCCTGGAGCTTTCCTTGTTATCTATAAAATACTAGCAATGAAAGAAAGTCAGAGTAAGGATACTCACCCTCTCATTAACTTTCCTTCCTGGCAGCACACACCATCTTTCCAAATCTTGCTCCTGGGCCTGGAAACAGAATTCCTCCTTAGAGGTTTCACACAAAGGAGCCAGAGGGCGGTGGTAGAGAAGGTTTAAATGAGTTCAAGGTATGAACAGGTGGGGAAAAGGGTTACACAGGAGGAGAGGGACATATGAGGTAAGTCAAAGAGAAGCCAAGGTCAGCCATGGTCCTATGACTACAAAGGCCCCTGGCCAAATTGAGCAATGCATTTTCTTCTCTCTGCAGGGGAGAAAAGCCAGAAGAGACAGGTTCTGGGAGCTGCCTCTGAAAATCCCAGCCTGCTTGGGGTAACATTGCTGAGTAGAGCTAGTGGAGGGATGAGACCCAGAGACACCGTGGGGTCCCCTATTTGAAAACTACCTTTCCCAAGGAGGGTCAAAACTGCAGCTGGGAGCCCAAAGCTGGGCCAAACCTCAGAAAACCACAGTCCCTTTGGGACTTCGTGTCAACCTTTGGTCTGAACCTGCCCAAGACCAAGATATCTTATGCTTCCTGCCAGCCTAATCCTCCTGAATATGCTTTCATCTCACCCCTCCCTGGACCAGATCACTCCCCTGGCTCCGCATTGCCTCCTTCTTCAAGTCTAAACTTCGCTTCCCTGTTCTTTACATGCACATTCCACCCCCACCCCGCCTCACTCCCCATCCTCCATCCCACACGTCCTGCTTTAGACACTACTATCACCTCACTCTCCCCTGCAATGTCCATGATCATTCCTAACTCTGTTGTCTTTTCTCCTCTTCTTCTATTCAGAAAACCATGCTTCTTCCTCTGTCAAAAAACTAATCTGCCTCTCCATCAAGGTGTGGCTCACTTCTTCCAGGAATCCTTCTTCTTTATCAGTCCATCTGGATCGCTTCCATCTAGAAATGTCATTCTAACAATCCAAGAGCTGTACCAACACCAATACTAACACTACTGCTAAGGCTAGTGCTAACACAGATGGTAAAGCTTACTGGGTGCTCACCACATGCTGGACTAAATTCTTGGTCATTTTGTGTGCTGACTCATTTACTCCTCCCCAGATCCTACAAGGTAGGTACTCTGATTCATTTTACATATTGGAAAATAATAAAGGGTATATAACATGGCCTTAGTAAGTGCTCTCACATTTGGTGGGTATTTAATATACAAGTGGCCCTGGGTGTTATCCAATGAGAGGAGAAAGCTTCTCCCTTTTTCAGTGGTAGAGCCATTGGTAACCCTTGGCAGCTTTATTTATGAAAATAAATCATTCCTAAACTGATTCAGGGTTTAGGACAAGCAGTATTCAGGCTGAATGGGAAGCAGGGAGCACAGGGAGAGTTGCATTTATCACAATTAATATCTTGTGCCTTGTCAAATATCTGACATACTGTGCCTGTGTATTACCTCTTGTCTAAGGCATGTGTAAACGTTCAGTTAATATTTAATGGCCTCCACTGGAGAAGAACTCATGGCTCATGATGAAGATTGATGTTGGACTTTTTATTATGAACAATTTCAGACACACACACAAAAGTAGAAGAATTTAATAAGCTCCGTTGTACCTGTCACCCAGATCCAACAATAATCAACTCTCAGGCTTGTTTCATCTATATCCCACTTACCAGCCCCCAACCCCAAATTATTCTGAAGCAAATCCAAGACACTGTGTCATTTCATGTTGAGAATATTTCAAAGAAAAAGGAAACGGAGAGGGAAATATACATTGTACATAAATTTTACTTTTCCTTAAACAACAGATGGAGCCTAGGAAAGAACAAGACACCCAGTCCCCAGGAAGGAGAGAAAATAACACTCTCCCATTTTAATTGCTTTGCTACTGTATATTTACTCCATAGATTCTTGATCATAGTTCTGTAAATTTATAGCTTTAATGTTCTCACTGGGGGTTGTCTCACCAGCTCCAATTACATTGGAAACACCTGGCAAGCAAGATCCACATTTTCCTCTTACTGAATTTAACGTCATGTGTTCTGCTGTTCCATAGGACATCTGGCTTGCCCTCCTCCCTCCCTTCCTTCTTAATGTCTGCCTTCCTTTCTAACCAGTCTCCAGGCTTCATAATAATGTCCTAACTTCCTTTTGTTACTCCCATAAACATTCACTAGATACAGCTCCTGGTATACAGTAGACAAAATTGGAACGTGTAGCACACGTGGCAGGAAGGCATCTCCCACAAGGTGATGGTGCAGCTGAGTCTTACAGCGTAAGCATGAATTAGCTGATTGCAGCGGGTGGGGGAGTGGTTGTTGGAGGAAGGGAATTTGAGGCAGAGGAAATAGCCCCAGCAAAGATCTGTGGAAGAAATTTGGGCCTATGTGAGAAACTGCAAAATGTACCACATGGTTGGATCAATATATTTAAATAGGTCATTGAGGTCAACAATGAGATTTGAAAATACACTGCATCCAGACCTTGTAGGACAATACCAATCAGAGCAAGGGAGCAGATAGAGAAAGACAGGTGGGAGAGAAAGGGAGTCCTGATGCATAAAAGAAAAGCTATGATGAACTCCCCAAAGGCCTGGATTCACCAAAGCTCTTTTCAACTTTGACATCATCTCCTATGGAAATATGTTCTCCCAATATCATCATATCTCTTTGAAAATTAACTAAAGACTGATGCCCCTCCCCTGAAAGATTTTTTCCTGATCTAGAACCTATATTACTGCTAGAAATATTATCTATGGCATACATATTTCTTTAGTTTGCAAACATTTGTTTTCCCAGGAAAAAAAATGTTTTCAAAACAGAAACTAGACCAGACTTTACGATTTTTACATATTTGCTTCACTTGGTATGACAAAGAAATGCAAAACAATTATGAGATGGGGAGTGGTGATGCAAATAATAATTCTTTGTTATGGTGGTTGTTTTTATTAGGTTACCTGTACCTGCAGTGCACCTGTGGAAATATATCTGAAAATGTTCATTTTTTAGCACCAGGGCTGTTTGATCATATAGCCGATTTATGAACAAAATCTGTAGAACTCAAAAGGAAATGCAGATCTGCCGATTGGCTGCGGAATTGGGGTTGTGCAGGTAACTGTTGCCACTGATCTAACCTGGCTATGATCACTGCCTCCACTTAGTTTGCAGTTGAAAATTCTACACTTCGCTCTTGAAATGTTGTGCTCCACTGCTTTCAGAGCTTGAGGGCTGGAGGGGTCATGTTTTTAGTTCCAGAGGTCATGAATTTGATTTGCAGTAAAGAATGTACTAGAGAGCTCAGGAGTGAGAAGTGTGATTAAATGACCTCTAATGGACCTTCCATTACATAATAATCTCCGTCCTTGGGTCGCCGACATCTGGAGCACTAAATGTATAAAAATATTTTTTTCTAAACTAAAAACTAATCAAACTTTAATTGATGACTTAATGGATGGTAGTGGAAGGCATTTGACCATGTTGGATCTAGTTTCACACTTTACAAGATTTAGATTTTCATTCTTATTTAGATTGACATGATTCAGATTCAGGGTCCATCAAGAACATTGTCCCAGGACAGGATAATGCTGATTCTCTGGAGACCAGATGTGACTTCATTTCCACCCATCTGTTCTCCCATTTGAGTCAAGGGTTCACTCACTTGTTTTCTTTATTTGTGGTCCATGGGTGGCTGGATTCTGATAGTATTGTGTTTGACTGCTGTTGGACAGACTTTCGCCCTCACCTTTGAAGCTCAACTCTGGGGAAAGATCTAGTCTTAAAGAGGAAGAGCTCTTTAGAGGGGTAGTTAGAGCCTAGAGTGAATCCCTGTCTCAATTTCCTCCAGATTGTTTTTAGTGGGCTTATTATTCCATCCCCAGTGTGTCAGGAAACAGCTCTCCAATACATACTACTAGCATTCTCTATGCCATACCCTGCTCTCTGGGCCTTGGTCGATCTCCTACCCTACTCCTGCTTGGAGCCACCTTGAGATTTTAAACTGTGGGAACTTGGAAATTATTCTTACAAACTACAAGCCCTAGATCACTGAGGCTCATAACCCCTGGAAATTGCCAGAACATATCCTCCAGTTAGGTTCCCATTTGGACCTTCAGATTCTGTTGACTCCACTGCTGGGCTCACAATCCTATAATTCACCGGTCCATCCAACTCTTCCAGGCCTGAAACTCACATACATCCCTGGACTTAGTTTGTGCCCAGAGAGAACATGAAGAAGAAATGTGTAGCCTGCTGAGCCTTGCCTCAGTTACCAGCACCACACTATCACATTCTAATTGCTCTTCTCTGCTATCAGTTTTCTTTCTTGTATGTCTTGTATGTCTTTCTTGTATGGTTTCTGACCCAGAGCTTGACCTGACTATGGTAACAGTGTCTGTCTCAGGACTCTTGCTTCCTTGAAACTCTGAGAGCCTTCTTGGCCTCTGGGATATCACCTTACTCTGATATTTGGCTGGAACACACTCAGACCTCCCCAGCCTTAACTTTCTAGTCACCATGGACCCAGAACTTCTGACTCCAAATTCAGTGTTCTCCCCAGGATGCTATAATATTATCTGTCTCCTAGATTCTACTCAAAAGAAAATAATTATTCCATGAAACAATTATTCTATTCTCATTGATAGAATAGAAATAGTAAGAGTTCCTATACCACAAGATTCAGATAAGAATGAACAGTGAATAATCTCAAGTGCACTGAATACTGTAAAGGTGGAGTGTTCTCTGAATGTGTGATGCGTACAAAGCAGTCACATGACTGGACCTTCTGTCTCATGCTTTTTAACAAAAAGCCTGGGAAATGGTGGGAAATCAAGGCATAAAAGGTATGAAATCCTTGCTTATATGAGAATGTCTACAATGTAACTTCAGTTTCCTCTTGATTTTTCTTCTCCTTTTCATCATTCCCCAAAGCTTCTAAATGGATAGAACTGCACTTCAACTGTCAGAGTTTTCTTTGAAATCAATAAGGAGGAAGGCTTACACTAGAAAATCTTGCCATCTTTATCCTTGACTCATATTTAGTTTCTGGATCTTCTAATATGCCATTCATATGACTGTCCTTAAAATTGGCTACATTTGATTGTGATATCCATATTTCTCATAGTTTCTTGTTATGTTCATATTGCTCCTAGTTTCTCTTACTAAGTTGTGAACTTGTGGATGTCAGGAGCTTTCATTTATTCATTTATTCAGCAGGTAGTGACTGGTCATTTGCCATGTTCCAGGCATGCTTCTAGACATCAAGGACAAAGCAATGAACAGACAACTGTACCTGCAGTGCACCTGTGGAAATATATCTGGAAATGTTCATTTTTTAGCACCGGGCTGTTTGATCATGTAGCTGATTTATGGTAGTTACTTCTCATTGGTAGTTACAATTTGTTATTTATTACAATGTTTGATGGATGGATGAGTGGGATAATAAATAATGAGAAACAAATGTCACAGGACTCTTGGAAATGCACTTTCTTACTTACCTCTTCTTCCATCCCCCATGAGATTTCCTACTTGCCATTTTGGTGTGGATAAAGCAGAAGTTGAGCAATCATGCAGCACTGGTACGGAACAGAAATGTCTCCTTTGAAGAGACAAAGGACTATCAAGGAGACTCTTGTGACATTTGTGACTTTTTTTTCCCTCAAAAAGATGCAATGAGAGATTCCTGTGCGCATATATATATATATATATATATATATATATATATATATAATATATATATTTGGGAAAGAAAATAGCTAAGTTCCATCTTTCTAATTTCTCTCCCATTTGAATTTTTTATTACTTTTGCATAAGCCTGAGAGAAACCCCAACAAAAGGATCCCAAATCCTTAGAAGAAGCTGGGGTGAGAAGGGGAAATCACCACTTCTATAACAGCAGGCAAGAGGCTAATTCACTTGATAGATTTCCCTACAATGCTGATGGTCGCATTTCAGGTCTGATTTATATAATTCCTACCTTGGCCTTCATGGGTGCACATTTTCCAGATGCCATGGAAATATTCTAAAAATTTTTCACTTACAATTTGTAAAAATTCAAAAGTACATATAAATGGTAGATAACTCAAAGACTCAAAAGTGCATATCATGACAAAAAACATTTCCTTTCTCCTGTCTCTGGACTTGCCCATTCTCCCTCAAGGCATCTTTTTTATACATGTTTCTTACACATCCTTGCAAGATATTCTATAAACATATTTGAAATCCAGGACTCCAGCATGCACATGTGTTTCACATATACAGCTGTTTAAAATCAAATAAGGTAAAAATATTTCAAAAACTCAGTCCTTACTTAAATGAGTAGATCTTATTTTTAACTTTCAAGTAAAGGCAAAAAGAAAACTTGGTATCACAAAGGAGTGCTTCGTGGGACTCAGGTGACCAGGTTCCACCACTAACTTGCAGATATGGACATAGCTGTCTCCCAGAAAACCACAGGGCTTTCTAGATGGCATCCAAATTCCCTTCCAAAAAAAAAAAAAAAAGGACCATATGTGTGCTAGACAAGAGATCACAGTTGTTTTCTCAAGTCAAAGTCCAACTTAGGTACATGCTGCATTTGCAACATTATACAAAAAGATTGATGTTGCAGATGGTCTAGGTGCTACAAAAATCACTATGATAGTGCATTTTCATGATTCATTTTTTACTACAGCTCTTTAAAAACAGACAAACCGTCTGTTAAGTGTATATTGTAACCTAAGCCAGAATAACATCACTTCCTTAATATTCCTGTCCTGATCAAAGCAATGAAGAATTATTTGCAGGTGGGTTCATCTCAGCAATTAAGATTTTTTTTGTTTTTGTTTTTTTAAAGAGAGAGAGAGAGAGAGAGAGAGAGAGAGAGAGAGAGAATTTTAATATTTATTTTTTAGTTTTCGGCGGACACAACATCTTTTGTGGTGCTGAGGATCGAACCTGGGCCGCATGCATGCCAGGCGAGCGCACTACCACTTGAGCCACATCCCCAGCCCCAGCAATTAAGTTTTAAGGTATCACTCCCTCGGTGTTTGATAGTGTATCAATTCTTTGCACATCGCTAGAGATTAGAAGTGTCCCCCAGAGGCCCAGGTGTTAAAGACTTGGTGACCAACCTGTGGCACTCTTAGGATGTGGAACCTGGTGGAAGGAAGTTAGGTCACAGGGGGCATGCCCTTGAAGGGGATATTGGGACCCCAGTCCCTTCCTCTCCTTCTTTTACCTCCCACCTGGCTGGAGGTGAATGGGCTTCCTCAGGCTGGTTATAGCAAAATCACATTTAAATAACAGAGTCCCAGGTTAATTTCCTGGAAGATTTACTCATCAGATCTTGGTTGAGGTTTAGGAAGCGCTCTTTCCAAGCTCTTAAATAAGTGATTCTCCAACCTGACTACACACTGAAATCTCTTGAGGAACTTTTAAAAATGCTCCTGCCTCTTGTCCCATCCTGAGATTCAAACATGGTGGCTCTGGAGTATGGCTGGGCACTGGCTTTCTCAGGGCTGTCCTGCTGGTTCCAATGTGCAGCTAGGACTGAGAACCACCATCTGTAGATCTTGACCAGGAGTGCTTGGTTCAGCAAATCCTTTTGGATCATCGAAATGTTTTTTTTTTTTTTCTCCCCTCCTCAGGTGGAATTGGTGTAGTCTTCTCCCACGTTAATGCTACCTTTTTTATGTGTGAAATGGAGGCATTATCGGTGGTGCCTAGCATGATGCAGAGAGCTGTAGCACCTCTTTACTGAGGAACTAACTTATTAGTGAGGCAGCCTCTGGGCCCCACCCCCCAAAACAATTGGAACAGAACCTGAATTTTAACAAGACCTCTCCATCTCTGTGTTTCATTTGCACATTAAAGTTAAAGGAGAACATCAAAGTGTCCTCCAGTTGTGCATTTCCAGTTTCCAGGTGTTGTGGATATTGTCAGGTCCTAGATCCACAGTGATAAGAATCTAAAATATCTAAACATTGTTTTCTACATGTGGCCAAAATAAAGTGTGTAGGAGATTCCTTCTGGATTTCACCATAAACCTCCTTAATTGGACTTTGGGAATCTGCCTTTTTAACAAACTGTTCATTCCCTGGTAATCTTTATTTAAATGAAAGTTTGAGAGCCAATGACTCCTGTCCAACTTTTTCCCAGAGAGAGATGATTCTCTGAAAAGCAGCCTGATCTAATTGCATTTAGTCTAACTTAGCTTAGAGAAAACTATGTTACTCTCTGAAAAAAATAAATAAATAAATTGTCTCTTCCTTAGCCCTTCAAATTACTGAAGCTAGTCTTTCTCCTGCCTAGGGGATATTTGTTTCCAACAGCTGCTCCTAATTCCTTTCCTTACTCTTCTGGTTATCCGCCACTCCCCTCCCCCCACCCCCCCACCCCCCCGCCTCCCCACCCTCACACTGGAAATCTAGTTTCACCATACTTCTCAAAATAAGGGAGCCCAAACCAGGGAATCACAAAGTTCAAATGATGCAATCTTCAGCTCTGATCAAAACTGTGTACCTTTGGGCTGGGTTGTGGCTCAGCGGTAGAGCTCTCGCCTAGCACATATGAGGCCCTGGGTTCAATTCTCAGCACCACATAAAAATAAATAAATAAAAATTTAAAAACAAAACAACAATAAAAAAAAAACTGTGTACCTTAGTAGTGCAGATGGAGTGTACATTCTTTTCTAGAAAGCCTATGTACCACGAATGTTAGCTCAAAATTAAGCTTTTGTTAACCACAACTCCTATGTCTCTAGTTGCCGTTCCTGAATAGTCTTGAAGTGAGACAATCAGAAAACCCAGATTCAAGTCTCATTTCTATAACTTTGCTATGAGGCCTTAAGCAAGTACCTTAGCTTTATAAGGCAAATTTTTATTTCTTTTAACAAGAAATTTTAATAGGTGTAAAATAGTATCTATTTTAGCATTTAATATTTTGATAGGTGCAATAATAATACTTATTTTAAAGGGTGAGTGTGAGGATTCCATAAAATTCTATAGAAAGCACTTTGTAAAGTTTAAAAATATAAATGTGGGTTATTAATAAAAAGCACTCCCAAGCTACATATAATCTACAAACAACTGTAATGCTGATTTATTAATTCATTATATTTTCTACTCCTACATAAACCAAGTGGCAGATCTGTCACCTCCATGTCCATCTCTGTCCTATTCTAGTTTGGTCCTTGTGTAACAGAGCTCCTGTCTTTCATTAACAAAAGGAAGAGAAACATGATGTGAGAACCAGGATGACCAAATGTCAAGATAATTCTCTGGAAACCAACTGCAGAAGTGGATGAAACCAGAAAAACCTTGTAATGTGGCTGACAAGAGTACACACAGGTGTCTCTTTCCATTTACTCACTGGAAGAGGAACTGAGATTTTGGTCACTGGAATTCTGTAGAGCCAGGGCTCCCAAGCTCCTAGGCATGTAATAAATAATACTACATTATAATTGGAGTTACTCAGGAACAATGAGGTTTCCTATGGAAGCCTGTGAACTTGGATAGACCCTCCCAAGAGAGGCAAATTTCTTCAATGGCAATGAGTAAGGACACACTCCCAGGACCAGTCATTATTTGCACCTCTCTGCTGTACCTCTGTAACCCTAGTTCTTAAAATAGGGACAATCTTAACAATAGGAACCTAAGGTTTAGCTCAAAAGAATAGGAAATGCTTGGTAAGTTTCCTTCTCTATGAGCCTCCAAGTACCTTTTCAAACACCTTTGCTAATTTGCATGATTGACAGATTAGATACCCTGAGGAAGGTAAAAGACACATACTTTTTCAAGAGACTAATCATAGGGTTATAACCTGACCATATGTACAAGGCGCAGCAGTTAAGGATGAAATACACTCAAACTACTCAAGTAACAAACACCTAATATTTATTAATAAATTAGTACACTTGAAGGCATTTTTCTGATATCGGTCCCTCACCACTACCCACAAACCCCCAACACACAAAGGGAGTTCACACCACCTTTGCATTAGAATCTGGCAACTGAGCATTAGACGGTAGGTTTATAAATGGGAGCATAGTTGCAAATATATCAGACAAGAGTTCTTACAGCTGCAGCCATTTTTAATTAAAGTGTTTGAATGATGAAGGAAATCCAGCAAGATCAAGGCCTTGAGGGCAGACTGGATCTATTGGCTATGTGTGTATAAAAACAGACATCTTTTAAAGCAAAGCTAGGCAAATTCTCTATGGAAAAGGTGCCACTGGCACTCAATTTTGATTTTCCGAAATGCAGCAATGTGTGCCAGAACAGCTCAATCCCTAAAAGATGAAGTTCAAATTCTTTGGTGGCCCAGGTGTCAAGCCACTGAAACGGCAAGTCTGGATGGCTTGAGGATTTCATTTCTCTAGCCCAGAGCATATTAACATTAAGAGGGGCACAAGTAATCAAGCATTCTGCACAATGTCCAGGTAAAAACCATACAATTGGCAATAGTGTGGTCAAGTTTCAGCCATG